CCTTGTGGCAGACTATGGTTGCTGCCAGAAAATAAGCGATCAGGTCTGTTCTATCAAGATGGACTGCGGTGTGCATTCGTATCCCAACAGGTAAGACACTCCTTCGTATTCCCTGTGCACGAAGCATATAAGCGATAACGTATCCTCAAACCTGAAAGGTTCAAGCAGTTCTAAGCAGGTTGTTAAACTCCGTTCAATACTTTTCTTTAACTTAGTTGTTTTGTCTTTCAAGGAAACCGTTATAGCAGAAATCAATAAACATTACTGATAGAAGCAAAGAACAATTAGATAACAAGCATCCTAAATATATAATCTAATGGGGGGAAGTAATGAGAATACCATCATTACCAGCAGCTATGAACGCGAAATACTGACTTGAAAAATACGAAGTACCTTAGCAGGAACCGCTTGTTAAACGAATAAACAGCCAGTGATTTAAGTGTGGATAAAACTAATTCTTAAGACAGTCTTTGGCGACAAAATTTCAACAGACGTTTGGAAAGAAGAAACTGAAGCAGCCAGAACCCTTAATTAACGGCATACGAGTGAGGCCACATACTTAAAAGAATCGGAATTTTGTGTAAATGCAATCGAGGAGTGGAATAGAAGGAAGAATTAAATACGTATAACTGAATACGTCGTTCAAACGGCTGAGAATGTAATATGAAAATTTTGAGGGCAGAACAGTCAAGAAAAAACAAGACACCTTACCTAACATACTAATTGTGTGAAAATGTTCTAGAGGTAGCTCAGGGACGGTGCGCGTTGTTTTTCAACAAAAATGCAAGCGGATAACAGTAAAACTAACTCAAACGAGAAACAGCAAACTCGGGGCTGGCTAGAACAGCGAACAAGCATATGCCACAAGACGAAATATAGCAACTCTTTAGGAGGTATAAAAAGCACTCAGTTGATATGTGCGGCTTCAAAGGACCACAGAAGACAAAACTCTGTTGATAAAACTTACCAAGCATAGTGATCGCTCGGCTGTAGACCAACATAGGTTGTGATGCCAGTGTGTCTGAGACCTAGATATACAGCGCTAGCGGCCTCACTCTTTGCCGATTCTCCATGCGATGTCGCGTCAGCCGGGAGGGTTTTTGCACTCGCTTTGTCTGTCGATTTGGCTCCGCGGCCTTTTTCCTTCAATGAGGCTTGGCGTTTTAGCGTAGGTTTGTTCTTGTCAATCATCTAGACGAAGAATATTAGGTTGAGGAAAACTACTTAAAAATACCGGTAGTGACAGCTCAGTAGCCGGAAAATAAAAATAAATAAGGCGAGTTGAAGTTTAAATCAACAACATATATAGTGTGTCGTTGAAAAAAAATAGGAACACTCTGAGTGGCGTAATTAGGAGTAAAGAAACATCAAAAGTCAGTCTTAAATATTGAAAATATTCTGGAAAATTCATGAATGAGGTCAGAAACTGCTTGACTTGTGACAGTCTAATGAAAAATTCGGTGACCACCAGTGGAAACCTAAAGCTCACAGGAAATAAACCATAAAAGATATACCTTAACTTGCACTGGATCGACGCCATAAGTCGGCAAACGCGAGGCTCGCTTTAGCACTTCGATTTCCGCATCACG